ACGGGCAACGGAGTTCTTTGTCGAGGATTCGGAGGAAGTCGACTACGAGTCGGATACTTCTTTCCGAGAATGAGAAGAAGAGGAGGACGAGGTGCACCAACGGCGCGACGTGAGCCCTGCTGGGGTTTTGCGGACACCGTGTCCTTTTCCTAGCATCTCGACTTCCGAGGAAAGTGTTATCATAATTAGTCGCCTTGACACGGCACAGAAGAAGCTGTTGGAGGCAACCCGCAGTATCCACGTTCGGTCTTTGGCCCTCCTGTGAAATACGGCTTCCGCATGGCGGATCCCACTATTGAAGCGAAAGCCGCAATCACCCAATCGTTAGGCAAATACGTAGAAAGGCCCTCGGCCACAACGCAAGCCAAAGTCGACCAGCGAAAGCTCCCGATCTCTCGCTTCTTGGTACCTCAAAATATCCCAATGAAGCGGTACTGCGCTAGACTTCAAGTTCAAAGAGGAGACACTCCTGTATCTGCAATGCGGACGATTCCTGTGGTGCTCGCCCCTGGCGAAACGACGAGGAGCTCTTTGAGCGATAGATACAGCAGCACCGAGCAATTTTCTCACTTTTTAACTATCAGCGGAACCACAAGGAAGTGGACGTGCGCGTAAGACGTCAATTTCGGTTCGAATTTGCCAAACACAAGGCGCAACGCCAACTTCCTACGTATTGCCGCCCTGCGACGTATGGATTAATCCATACGTCGCATGAGTTTACGACCACAGCAGCTCAGGGCCATACCTTGAGCTCAGCTCATGACCCTTTGGCTTCCCGGGCTACTGCCTATATGCGCGGGGCGTTCGATGATGTAGAGCGTCATAATCCCTCTGATCATAAGCGCCCACGACGTCTGGGCAGTCTTGCCGAAATGGCACCTCAAATTCTCACGGGTTCGCAAAATTTGGGTATTCCCACCTCTTCATAGTGGACGCCACCGTTCACGTCGAGAAGAGTCGGCGGTTGACAATGACGACTTGGTCGATCGTCGTCCGGTGACTCGCGATGCTTTATGAGCTCTGGAGGTTAATGGCCGTCGCCATCAGCGCCCCGATGAGCATTTGCCGAGGTCGGTGCAGAAGACCTAGAGAGCTTAAAACACTTTATGCACCGACTGCCTCACGTTAAGGACTATCGCGCAACGTCGGAGAGGCTCCTAGCCGCCAAGCAGATGATTGCGTCACTTTGTGCGATGGTGGAGCGTCTGGCGCCGTTGGAAACGAAGATCGTTGCATTCCGTTCTCAAAGCCAGTCGCTGGTTCAGCTCCTGGGTAGTCGAGCGCCCTTGGGTTCCACCCCCGGCGCCCACAGACGCTCACTTGCGTCGGATCCTGGTACGGCCTAAGCAGGCCCACGAAAACACCGGGTAGCTGCGAATCCTTTTCGGAAGGTTTGGTGTATATGCAAGCCTGGCTTGGCCACGATCTGAAAAGTTTCGATAAACCGTGAACGGAGCTCCATCCTAAAAACAGCAGAAACTGCATGTTTAAGAAGGTTTCAGGATTTGATAAAATCAGGTCTCCGACCTCAAATTTTTCGGCATTTTTCTGCTTCTTCCGTCTGCATATCCTTTCTATATGCATTGGCTTTCAGCGATCGCATCGCA